GAGGAGGAGAGAAAGCAAGAGAGAGAAGGAGGCGGAGGAGAGAGATGGCAAGACAGAGGAGGAGGAGGGGTTGATGATTATGAAGAGAGGAGGAGGTGGAAGAGGAGAATGATAGAAAGGAGGAGGTGGAGACAGGTGCATGAGAGGAGGAGGAAAATGATGATGATGATTACGAGGAGGAATGATCATGAATGCTGAGGTAGAGGAGCAGGAGGATGAGACAGGAATGAGGAGGGAGGGATGATTTAAAGGAGAATATTGAGGAGGAGGAGTAGAGACAAGGAGAAGCAAATATTGCTTAGGAGGCAGACGACAGAGAGAGCTGAGGAGGAGAGAGATGCTGATCAGGAGGAGGAGGAGGGGGGCAGTTGCATCGTTGGTGTGCGGCGTAGCGTTGAGTGGCTGCGTTAGCCACTTAACCGCTCAACTGCTGGGCGGGCGTGTAGGGGTGGGGGTATCGGATTGGGAGGGGGTGGGGGGGGGGGTCCCTGTGAAACGGAGCAGGAGGAGAAAGCGCTGAGTCGGGTGGCGCTCTCCCTCCTCCCGCGTTCTGCCCACTCAGCGCCGATCCAGGAAACTCTGCACTATTGTTCCCTGCCCGTTCCTAAAATTATGCTTTTATTTTATTTTGCGTTGAAAGCGACTCCGTTCTCCTACGCGATTTCCTATTTGACAAAAAATAATAATTACAAAAATCAGTATGAGGTCAAGGCGCAGCCCTGCAATGTCTCGCCCCCGCCACTGCCGCCGAAGGAAGGGCTTCCACTCCAGCCAACTCACCCCACGCGTGGCAGAAGAGTGGGTGTTACCCACACGTTACCCCACCACACGTTACCCCACCACACGTTACCCCATCACACGTTACCCCATCACACGTGAACACGACCTGGCGATCGGCTCACTGCGGTGTACCCACGTGTACTGTGGGGGTGTGGCGGGGGGGGGGGGGGAGTCGGGGGCGAGGGGATTTAATAAATCTGGCCTACTCTTTCACGCTGGACAGACGTCTTTGTCCCAGGTGGGAGTACCCACACTTTACCCCACGAAGCACGATCTGACCCCTGTGATTTTGGTTTCCCAATGATATTGTCGGGGGGACAGAGGTGGGGGGGGGGGGACTTAGGAAACTTGCTCCATCGTTTCAGCTGCCGCGGCGGGAGATGAAATCGAACCGGCGACCTCTGGATTACAAGTCCAGGGTGCTAACCGAATTCACGGAGGTGAAATTAAAGAGAGAGCAAGCAGAGAGAAAAGAGAGAGAGAATAAAAAGCCGGGACTCTGTAGAAACCCGCGGTGAATTAACCGCACGGTACTGACAAAGCGCCGCGTGGCCCCCAGGTGCCGGCGTTAATGTGATTGAAATGCTGACAGATTTCTTTTTTTTTATTGTTAATTAGTTAATGTGCTTGCCTGCAGTTTTTAAACTTTGATTTTTAGCCGAAACCCACTTAAAGCCATGCCGACGGGTTCTCGGTGCCCACCCAACCGCGGTGCCCTTGGTCACCCTGCGTCTCCCACCGCCATCCTTACACTACGCCCCCCCTCCGCTACGCCCCCTACCATGAGGAGCCTGAGCGGAAAAGCGAGGAGGGTGGTGGCGGCGGTGGCTGCGTGAATGAAGGTCGCGGCGATCTGAATGAATCGGAGCGGGGGATTTGGCTTAACACCGTCATAGCTGAGGCGGGGTGTCTCATTCATTAATTCAAAGATGGACTCATTCATTTCATTCATTTAGCTGTTCATTCTCTTCCTCATTTTCAGTGTTGATGCATTCATGTGTCTGCCGACTCCATTGGTTGCCCCCCCCCCATTCATTCATGGAATGCCCCGTTCATTAATGAATGTATTGACTTGTTCATTCACCGATTCATTCAGATCTTTGAAATGTAATTCATTCTTTTCATTTCACCATTCATTTCTTTCATTGAACTATTCACACTATCATTTATTTTAGCTATTCAGTGGGTTGTATGTATGTTTAATGTCCTTCGCACCGTACACAGCCAACCGTGCTAATCGGAGGTGCGGGGGAAGGACAACAAACTAAACACAAAAATCAGTTTTGAAGTAGTAATGAGTTTTAAATCTACATTTAAAAAGTGCATAGCTCCAGTGGCTTCCTAATATCGGAAGGAAGAGTGTTCCAAACGACCGCAGAAGCACATCTGAAAGCGCACGATGCAGTGACCATCTTTGTTTAATGACTAGCCAAAAGCCACTGTGAGGCTCACCGGAGTTCGCGTGATGGTTTATATTCCTTGACGAGATCAGTAAGGTATTGTGGCTCATTTGTGGCAAACGCTTTGCGTGTAATGATTGTGAAACCAATGCAGCTCAGCGAGCACTGGACAGACATGGTCGGATCTTGCAGTACCCGTCACGAAACGTGCCAAATTATTTTGTACATGCTGCAGCTTGGTAATGTTTTTGGCAGATGTCCCGTAGAGTGGTGAGTTGCAATGATCGAGCTTTGTTGATACTATGCTATCCCATTCACTCATTCAATCAGCCTCTCATTCATTCACTCACACATTCAATAAGTAATTCACCATGTTTATTTTAGTGGATGAGAACTCACTCTCTGGTCGTGCCCCCCACCACCACCACCACCACTTTACTCGCATGATCGCCCCCCAGCCATGCTGCGCCTCACGCACAGAGTTGCCACCTCTAGCGTGGAAAAAAAAACCCAAGCGTAAATATATTTACGCGAGAGAAAAATATCTCACAATACCAGGAGAGCAGATGACTATGTGCAAATGCAATGCCTGAAATGGTTTTATTATTACGCAACATATATATACAAAAATTGTATCAATGTCCACGGGAATACTAAAGAGTATTTCCCAGGACAGCTTCTGCAAAGAGAGGGCGGTCCTGGGAAATCCAGGACAGGTGGCAACCCTACCGCGGTGGGGGGGGCGGGGGCTCCTTTAAGCCTCTCGCTCCTGCGGGACCCATCCGCAGCAAGCTGCTGCATCGCCTCTGAGCGTCCTCTGCAGACCTACTTCACCTGGCACGTGGCAAGGCCAGCGCCGGGCAGATGGACACGCAGAGGCGTGCGTGCGTGCGTGGGTAGATGGGTGGGTGGGTGGGTGAGCGGGTGGTTGGGTTGGGTGGGAGGGTGGATAGGCGGGTAGGTAGTAGGTGGACCTTCCGCAAGCCAGATTACGGTTAAATGCACGCATTTAACATGAAGGATCTTAGCAGGCATGTAATGGTTAATTGAACCGTGGGTTATATCCGGGTGCTCAGGTGGTTTGTTGGGTGACCGAGTAGATGTGTGGGTAGGTTCGTAGGTTAGAAGGTGGTTAGGTGTGTGTGTCGGAGGGTGGGTGAGTGGGTGGGTTAATGGGTGGGCGGGTAGATGGGTTGCGTGGGAGGGTGGGTAGATGGCTACATGAGTGGGTGGATGCATTGGTTGGTTGCTTTAATGTTTGGGAATTAGGTTAAAACATCATTTTTAACTATACACATCAAATGGTGGGTCATGATTGTGTGTGTTGGTGAGGGGGGAGTAGGTGCGTGGGTGTATTGGTTAGAGGGTGGTTAAGTGCGTGAGTCAGAGGGTAGGTTTGGGGTTTCGGTGGGTGGATGAGTGGGTTTCTGTGGGTTAGTGGGTGGGTGGGTTGGTAGGTTCGAGGGTGGATAGGTGCGTTGGAAGGTGGCCAGGTGGCTGAGGTGTCAGAGCACTGAGCCACCACCACTATGATCCTGGGTTCGAATCTGGAATTCAGTCGCCTGTGATTAAACCGGGTTAAGTCTGTATGTATGTATGTTGAACCTATTTTGCATCTTCCTTATCCAACCATGCTAACAAGTTGATGTTCTCAGCCTGGTCACTGATAACTGCACAAAAAGAAACCCCTGACATTAAATTCATCTCTGCACTTATGTTACCTCTTTTCAGCTCTTGAGGATTACAAAACCAAATAGTTTAATTGGCATGAAGTGACAAACACCGTTTGCAAGGACATACATGAATTAAAGAGGTTTACTGACAGTGACCTCCGAAGAAATTCTCTGACAATCTTACAGGCACCGTCCTCTGACACAGGGTGATGCACTGCTAGCTGCGAAGGGTCGAAATGTCCTTGTCTCTCTGTAACATGACGTAGCGATGGCACAATCCGGATACAAGTGGGGTGGGGGGAGGGGGTAAAAAAACTCATCCTTTCGTTTCCTCCCTGGCGAGGCCTCTCCCCTCCCTGCAATAAACAAGACTCTCCGCCCACACGCACGTACAGGAATTTAATTAAGCGCATTCGTCGGCAGGAACTTTTATTATTGGAGAATTGAAATAACAGAGCGGAATTGACGAACGGCCTGTGACGTGACGCAAGGGGGTTCCTGCCCTGACCTCCGGGGTGAGAGTACACCTGAACCGTGATTGTCTCCGTCAGCCGTGCTCAGTCCACTGCTGCTTGAAGTTCTCCCCAAGCCGCCCGCCCAGCCCATCTCTCTAGGGTCCTCCGACGCAAACATTCCATTTGGTACCCCGCCGCACGGGTCGATCGCGTCGCTCCGTCCTTTGGCTGGCACTCCCGTCGTCGCTCTCGACAGCGGTCCGTCATCGATCGCCGCCGTGATGTGTCCTGCCCAAGCTCACTTGACTTGTCCTCGCAGTCCGTATCATGTCTAGAATATGCGCGTGTTCTCTGACTCGTCGTGGTCCCCGGCGTTTCACTCCGTGTGCCAGCACGTGAGAGAGAGAGAGAGCGGAGAGAGCTGTACAGGCTCAAATCCCAGCTTAGCCTTCCGAGATCTGACAACAGTTCAGTTTCCAACGAAGCTCCCAGCAATTGGAGCGAAACGTTGGACATCGTGCCGAACGACATGCGGTGGCATCACACGGTAACCCCGGACGAGTGGTAAAAAGTTGAACCCTGGGGTGCGCAGGTCAACACAGTTATGAGAAGTCTGCAGGGTGACTTGGGGAGCAGCTAACAAGTCTCCCCCCCTCTCCCACCCCCTCCCCCCCCCTCCCCTCTCCGCCTAGAAGATGGAATGGCAGTGGGGATGCTGGCCGGCGCGGCGGGGGATAAACAGCACAGCCTTGCCAGCCTCGCTCAACTCCACGCAGACTTCCCAGCCGCCGCCTTCCTCTTCCCAGACGGGCTGTCCTCCACCGAGACCCTGCTCACCAACATCCAGGTACGGACCTTCGTGCCGCCCGCCCGCCCGCCTGCCCGCCTGCCTGCCCGCCCGCCTGCCTGCCTGCCTGCCCGCCCGCCTGCCCGCCCGCCTGCCTGCATGACTGCGTGACTGCCTCCCTCGCAACAGCCGTAGCTCGTTGGTCGCTCCAGGTTGAGGAAGCTGCAAAGTCCGCCCCGGGTTTTCCAGTCGCGGGTGGTAGTAAGCGGAATTCGCCAATAGTGATTTCTCGCAGAGAGACCCGCAGACTCGTATAGAGACGCACTGACACGCAGAGAGCCACTGACTTGCATAGACATGCACTGGCTCGCAAACACTCTCCCCTCACAACACACTCCTCACCCCTCACTCTTCACCCCTCACCCCTCACCCCCCACTCCTCACCCCTCACCTCTCACCCCTCGCCCCTCACTCCTCAGCCCCCACCCCTCACCCCCCACTCCTCACCCCTCACTCCCCACTACTCACCCCTCACCCCTCGCCCCTCACTCCTCACCCCTCGCCCCTCACTCCTCACCCCTCACCCCCCACTCCTCACCCCTCACCCCTCACCCCCCACCCCTCACCCCTCACTCCTCACCCCCCACCCCTCACCCCCCACCCCTCACCTTTCACCCCTCACCCCCCACCCCTCACCCCTCGCCCCCCGCCCCTCACCCCCCACCCCTCACCCCTCACCCCCCACCCCTCACCCCCCACCCCTCACCCCTCACTCCTCACCTTTCACCCCTCGCCCCCCGCCCCTCACCCCTCACCCCCCACCCCTCACCCTCCACCCCTCACCCCTCACCCCCCACCCCTCACCCCTCACCCCTCACCCCCCACCCCTCACCCCTCACCCCTCACCCCTTACCCCTCCTCACCCCTCACTCCCCACTCCTCACCCCTCACTCCTCACCCCTCACCCCCCACCCCTCACCCCTCACCTTTCACCCCTCACCCCCCGCCCCTCGCCCCCCGCCCCTCACCCCTCACCCCTCACCCCTCACCCCTCACCTTTCACCCCTCACCCCCCACCCCTCACCTCTCACCCTCCACCCCTCACGCCCCTCCCCTCACCCCTCACCTCTCACTCCTCTCCCCTCACCCCTCACTCCTCTACCCTCACAACACACTCCTCACAACACACTCCTCTCCCCTCACAACACACTCCTCACATCTCATCACAACTCTCATCCCACCATGCAGACTCAGCTGCAAGTTCACCACAACGCCTTCTCATCTCACTGCACGCACACACCATCACGCGGGAGCCGCTGCGTTTGGCGGGACGTGGAGTCCGTACTGCGCGAGAGTAATGAGCCTCCGTGCGTAACCACTCATTTACACAGTCAATAAATCATGGCCTGCTGTGCCGTGGCACACTGATAGCAAACGCTTTGCAGGGTTTAACAAGAGCATTTATTAATAGGCGAATGGACGGGCAGACGAACGAACGAACCCATGAGCGAGTGGAACGGGCGGTCCTAGACGGACCGTGCTAGCCACGTGGGTCACATAACCAGAGCCCCTGGCAGTGCCCGGGCGATCCCGTGATGTTATGTAAACGATTACGCCACCGGTTATCGGTTCGACTGCTCGGCTAATCGGAGAAGGCTGCCTCCGTGCAGAACTTGGTTGCGAGCCTGAGCGAACGGTTGTGCAGCTTAGAACCGCTCTCGAAACCGCACAATTTAAAATCGCCCGTAACTGCTTTGTCCGTATCTGAGCGAGGAGTTGCACAACAACAAAGATGTGTCTGAGCGTAGCTAAAGTGCGCTGGTCACACCCTCTGCACCATGTGGTGGGGGGGGAGTGGTAATTTTTGTCTTTAGTGTGTGCCTGCACGTGGTAACGTGCGTGCGTAACGTGCGTGCGTAACGTGCGTGCGTGTGTGACGCGCGTGTGTGTAACGTGCATGCGTGACGTGGCGTGACGTGGCGTGACGTGCGTCCCAGGGCCTGCTGAAGGTGGCGGCCGACTCGGCGCGGGCGCAGGACAAGCAGGCGCAGCTGGAGAAGTCGGAGCTGCGCATGGAGATCCTGCGGGAGCGCGAGGTGCGCGAGGCCCTGGAGAGGGAGCTCGCCACCGAGCAGCGCAACCGCGGTACGACGCCGCCGCCGTCGTCGTCGTTGTTGCACGGGTTGCACGCGCTCGCGGTTACGCAGTTTCAATTCAACGTCAATGTTTATTTGTTGCATGGAAGATCCCGTGTAGCCAGTTCCCCAGCTAGTTTTTAACGCTAGAACAACAACGACATCGTCAGAGGGGTACACTCCGCTGCTCCTGATGCGGTTATCTGGCTTGACCATCTGCATGTGAAAAGTTATTGCTCTGCATCTTACTTCAGCCATACGATAGAAGAAGAAGAAGATGAATATCACAGCGATCCGCGCGGAAGAACGGGCAACATCGGAACAGGGCGCGTCGGAGGTGCAGGCTAAAATAATGCGCCGGGAACAAACCGTAACAATATTAACGATATAAACACAGGCACGTTGCACCGAAAACCGGGACGTGGTAATGAATGCTTGTAGGGGAGATGAGGCGGATAAAGGCGAAGCGAATGCGGCTGAGTGAATAAAACAACAGCCATCGGGGGAAAGTGACGAGTCGCAGCAGGGTTGAGCACGGTGATTGCGATGTCGATGGTGGAGTTGCGTGTTTTTGACGGAAGCCGTCCACCTTCCCGTACGCGGGGGCGTCTCGGAGCGCTTCACATTGGGCGTTCCCCCTCTTCGCGAAACAGTTTGAAAGGGTATCCCAGGTGGCAGCCGTGTCCCCGTAACACGACACGCAAAAAGAAAAAACACTCGTAAAAAGCACACGGCCTTTGTGCGTTATGCATGTGTGCGGAACTTCTTTTGCACCGTACATAGCCAACCGTGCTAATCCGAGGTGCAGGGGAAGGACAACCAACTTCACATAACAATCAGTACAAATCTGTTAGAAAAGCAGTTATGCCAGGTTTTATGCGTTTTTATGCCTTGTTTCAAGCATACGGTTTTCCAGACCTGCACTGTCATTCTATTGCTTAGGAGTTTTTTCATCGTACTACAGATTTGATTATTGTGGGCATCAGCTCGGCTGACATGGGCCCGGTAGCGTGGAAGTGGGGACTCCACATAAAAAAGGTTTCCAGAGGCAGACTTTGCAGCAGTGAGCATTGGTGACTGTACTATACTGTGCTGATGAGTGCTAATGAGGACGAAACCGGTCCACATAGTCACTGCCGTCGCCACCACCAATTATTTTGATGGTAACCGATAGACATGTGGGACCACAATGCAATGCTTCTTCAGGAGCCCGCCTGATGGCACTGTTTTCTTTACACAATGCACAGTTTGGCTGCGTTACTCTTTTTTATTTTCGTTCGTGTGTGTACGCGCGCGCGTGTGTTTATGCGTTCCCGTTGTGCGCGCGCGTCTGTTTCGCAAACTGTGCGCGCACGCGCAGAACTCGTGCAGAAGCGTCTGAAGAAGGAGAAGAAGGCCAAGAGGAAGCTGCAGGAGGCGCTGGAGTTTGAGGGCAAGCGGCGGGAGCAGGCCGAGCATGCGCTCACGCAGGCCACCAACCCCGACGGCCTGCGTGGCCTCGGAGGTGAGCTCGCCTCCATGCGCCGAGTCTCTCCGGGGTTTCCTCTTTCCCTCCTCCTCCTCCCTCCCCGGTGTGACATGATAATGTATGCTCGACTTGTACGGACAACATGGTCGCCCGACGTTTGCACGGCACCACTGTTTAGATTTAAAGCTTTCGTGACTGCAGGGATTCATCTTCTTGGTTCTTTCGGTAAAGTGACTTTACCGAAAGAACCAAGCAGAGGCACCACTGTTGTCGACAGGACAAACGGGAGAGGGATGTGATACAACAATGTGGATTGTTTGGCTGCTGCTGCAGACGCAGCTGCGCTGGCAGGGCAGGTGGCATCCCGAGCCACCAGTGGGAAAGTGAGACGGAGACAGAGCTGAATTATCGGTAACATTAAACATTATGTTGGTGATGCTGCTGCGTTAGGAGTGGTGCACAAGTACAGTTAACAACACTCAACACGTTCCGTGCCAATAATAACACTGTGGTGTTATAGTGACAGATGGCGTCGGCTTGCCGAGGGAGGCCCGAATCCAGCAGTGGAAATGCTGCTACTGCTGCTGATGCTGCTGCTGATGACAGTGACCCTAATTTTAAACCGAAATATTCGGGGGAAGAAATATTCATTTATATTTTAACTAAGTTTCTGCCTAGAAGCCTCCGTGTAAATGCCAAGAAAACGCAACACATTTTGTCAATTGCCCTGTGTGGCCTTAATCGGAAAAATCTATAATCGGCGACGTTTTGGGCAATGACCCTTCTTCTTAGCACTTGAAGAAGAATGGCTCTTGCCCAAACACTCCGAATATTTATTATATACCTTTCCTTTGAAGGCCACAGTGTTTTCAATACGTGGTTCTGCATCACCTGATGGACTCTAGGCCAATGGAGCTTCGAGAGGAAGGTGACCGACCGACCTTGAGTGGGGTGCAGGCCCCTTTCCTGAACTGGGCAACCGTTGGGAGAGAAAGCGGAGAAATTCCCATGAGACCCAACATTTCCAATCTCCTGCTCGTCCCCGAAGGCCCGCCTGCATGACCGTGTTGTTGCGAGTTAATCTCTCTCTAATAAGGCATTTCACAAAATTCATAAATAAGGCATTAGGAAAAAGAGACGTTTAGAGATTTCATCCGTCTGTTATTCTAATGTGTACATATATATGAGGTAACCAGTCAGGATGCCACTAGAGTGCCAATTTTTTCGGACCAAATCCGGACATATGTTTCAGTCAGCCTAGGTATTTCAAAACTTTGCAGTAGACTGTAATGAAGTTCAACGCAATGCCACCAGATCTCGGTACAAATCTATCCTTGCCACTCGAACACGGACGTCGTCGGTTCGTAATCAACTACGGCACAAACCGTAGTTGCCACCTCTGATGTACAAAACACCAGGAGACATGTTAAAAAGAAGAATAGCTCACGATAGTGGAAGTGGGGAGAACTATGTGTAAACGTGTCATCTGGAGCGGTGTATTCATTACTATGATCATCAGTATGCAACTGACAAAAACCGGGTCTTTATTGTCCCGGGAAAATGTAAGGACTTCCCAGGATGCAGCTGTGGGCAAGTGAGACGGAGCGAGCCGAATTTGCCGGTGAAATTAATTAAATGATCTGGTGACGCTGCTGCTGCCGCATTGGCAGTGATGTCACAAGCGCAATTACCAAAAACGAACTCCACACACTCATCAATAACAACACCACCTTGTGGCCTTCAATGTAAAAATGGATTCCGTGATTGAGTGTATGTGCTTTGAGAAAGAACCATTGCCCGGACTGTCGCCTGTTGTATACTTTTCCTTTCAAAGCCACGGCGTTATTGACGGCAAAGTGTTGAGTTAGTTTTTTCCCCCCCACTGTGAATTGTCAGTGGTGTGGCAGAAGGAAGGGGGTATACTCTTTGGTTCTTTCGGTAAAGTCACGTAGGTAAAAAATTCTAAAAGTAAAAAAATACAAATAAAATAAAGAATAAAATAAATGAAATCACGATGTTTCGGGTGCAACACAAGCGCTCATTATCAGGTGGGACCACCATAGAAGCTTCTGGCTGAGGTGCCTGAAACGTCGTGATTTAATAGATTTTATTTTAAATTGTATTTTTTATTTTTAAACTTTTATAATTTTTTACCTACGTGACTTTACCGAAAGAACCAAAGAGTATGGATCCTTGCAGTCACGAAAACTTCAAATCTAGAAGGAAGGGGGTGTCTAGGGGGCTCGCTCGGCCGGTGCCTGATGAATATTCTTTCTCTGCGCATGGTTCATTTATGTCCTGAAGAAGAAAAAAAAATGTACATCTTGGAATATTAAGAAGTTTTCACACCAAACACGGACGGCAAAAACTAAAATTCAAACGTTTGCCATGTGCCGTTGTCTGATGTGAAATTATTAATTTATTATTATCACGGTTGTTGAGCAAAGACCCAAAGTCCCAAAATGTGAAGCCGCCGGCAACAAACAGCACTATTGTGAAAGTTGTAATAGACATGTGTTTCTTAATTATCAGCAAAGTTATTTTCGTAATAGCTTGGGGAAAATAGATGATGCTGAGAGGAGGGGATTCGAGAGTGAAGCAGCATGAGGGACGTGTGTTGCACAAAGAGAAGTGTTTTGACCTACAGTGTGGTGAGTAAGTGGGTGAGTGAGTGGGTGAGTGTGTGAGTGTGTGAGTGGGTGAGTGAGTGTGTGAGTGAATGTGTGAGTGGGTGAGTGAGTGGGTTAGTGAGTGTGTAAGTAAGTGGGTGAGTGTGTGGGTGAGTATGTGAGTGAGTGTGTAAGTAAGCGGGTGAGTGTGTGGGTGAGTGGCTGCGAGTGTATTGTTGCGACCTGCAGTGTAGTAGTGAATGAACATATACTGTGGACGAGACGAAACAGTCAGTGTCTGCTAGACCTCAACCTCAACATTGGTGGATGAATCAATGAGCAGAGTTCGTGGGGACATTAACCACGGTAGTACCAATAGGAAGAGTGAAACGGGCACGACTAACCACCAGTGAGTGAGAGAGTGACTGCAGTGATACAGTGAGTGCTGGATCATCAGTTAGTTTGACTGCTTTACGGTGACTTCTGTCAAGCACAGTGAGGTAGGACCTGGGTGCTCCATCCCCAGATATGACAGCAGCAGGATTTTAACTTTGACTGAAAATGTAGTTTTGTCCGCTAATTCATAATTTGAATTATCTGCTGCAAACAGAAATCTGCCGCTACGGATTCTCTGAGCGAGGAGCAGAACTCCTGGGAGCAGCTGCCATCGGTGTGGTTGTTAAAGAAATTTGTTGTTGTTGGCAGTAAATGTTTGTAGAAAAAAAAAAGCGCGTGTCCGCAAACCATCGCCGGGGCGTTAAGATTTTGACGTAAAACTTGTGGCAGTTTTTGTCATGGAGATAAACTAAAAAAAAGCAAAACGGCAGATGTGATTCCAAAAAATCCACGGCGCCAAATTAAAATGTGCGGGAGGGCTCACTATTCGTGAAGGGCATGTTTATAGGGGGGCGGGTGGGGTGGGGGGCGCTGGATTGATTTTAATATATTTTCTTCTTCCGTGTTTTTGTTTCGCAAAAAAATGTAAATACCAAGCAGCGCGGCCAAAAAAGGCGATGCCGGGAGAGCGTCCAAGGCTTTAACATTTAGCACCAAAGCCGCCCGGTAGCCCACCCCCCTCCTCCCTGCCCACCCACTCCCCCACTGCCTGCCAGGGGTGCTAGGGAAGGCGACCCAAACACACAAACGGATTAGCGCGCCCGCCCAGTCGCCTACTTGCGCGCGTGCGCGCGTGTGCCACGACCCTTCCAGTCATCACTGATCATTGTGTCGGCGCTCTGCCGCTTGCTGCTCACACGCGCGCCCACCGACGACAACAACACCACCACGGTTAAAATACGACACGGAGGCCAATCAAGTAATGTTGCATTAGAGTCTCGTGTGGCCGGCACTGGGGCCCGGATCCTACACTTGGCGTGCACACATAAAAGTGCACTCCGGGTATAAGGGGCCGCACCATAAATGAGAGCCATCCTGCAGTAATGGGTCGTTTAGTTGGAGAGTATAATATTTCAAAGGGAGTTGCGCGGGGTGCGTGCCTGAGTTGTGGGTGCGTGCGTGTGCGCGTGTGTGTGTGTATGTGCATACCTGTGCACGTGTTTCCACGTGTTTGCGTGTGCGCGTGTGTGTTAGTGTGTGCGCGCGTGTGGGGAGCGGTGGCACAGTGGTTCGATTCCCGCTCACCACCAATAACAGTGGTGAATATTTGAACTGGGCCTTAGCTTCCCCTCGTTCGACTGAGCCTTAAATGTGTAACTGGTACAGTGTGTAAACGTCATCACTGGGAAGACAAAGGCGGCCGTGCGTGCTGCTGGCCACTCATCTCCTCCGGCACCGTGTTGGCTTTCATAGGTGCTCGCTAACAAAATTTGCGCCAAAAGTCCATTGAGGCTTTTGGGGGTCTTTGTCTTTGCATATGTACACGTGTTTTGTATTTGCCGATGCATATGTGCATGTGGTTGTGTCTGAACCTGTGTATACACTTGTACATGGTTATGCATCTGTGGGTATGAGAATGTCTGTGGGTACATGTGGGTGTGTGTTGGTGCGCGTGTCTTTTTGCAGGTACACGTGTGCTTGCGTGTGTGCCCATGTGTGATGTGTACGATTCAGAGGTGAGCAGGTGCTAGGCATTGCTAAGTGCCCGCGAATAAGCTCTTGCCCCCAAGAAGTCAGCTAAAGGCTAAATGGGGAATCTTTGTCTTTGTGTGATACAGAGCCACTGAGCCCCATGATGGAGGGAGAGAGAAGTGGACAGGGGGAGAACGAGAGAGTGGCTCAACAAGGTGAGATCATTACTGTTTGCGCCACGGTGGCAAGATGTTAACTCCCTTGCCTGGTACACAGGAGGTTATAGGTTTGATCCCGACACTGATGTCTGTATATTTGGAGTTTTGCATGTTCTCCCCGTGGTCGCGTTGATTTTTCTCCGGGTCCTCTTGTTTTTCCCCTCCATATTTAGAAACATGCGTTTCGAATATCTGGTTGCTATACTGTCAATTTCCACGTAAATAGGCCACTTTGTTGAGCTATCATTTATGGCCAGGTCGCTTCTGCAAAATAGTTGTATCGCTCAACGGGCCTTACCCGGTAAAATAAAAACATTTGTTTTATACTCTTAGGTTTTTTCGGTAAAGTCACGTAGGTAAAAAATAAAATTAAAATTAATAAAAGAAATATTACTTTTATTATTACTTTTATTAATTTAAATTTTATTTTTACCTACGTGACTTTACCGAAAAAACCTAAGAGTATGAATCCTTGCAGTCACGAAAGCTTCAAATATACATTTGTTTTAGTTTAACCATGGCCAATTGTCTCAGGGGGTTCAAAAAAGCCCGTGTCCGAGCACTGTAACGACGTCGCTGAGATCCTGGGTTTAAATGCGGGTTTTGGACACTCACGATGATGTCCACGTTCTCCGGTTCCAGGTGTGACAGTTGATGGTCGTGGCCAAGTCACCAAGTCACCAGCGACTGCACAAAAAATGCCAATCGTTACATTTGGTGTTGCACTTAATTCGGCGAATATTTACAGCTGTAGAAATTTGAAGCATCGGTTTGACCATCACGCGACAAACATAACCGCGACGCTTTTATTGAATGGGGAAAATCGTTTCACAAAGCACGAACAAAGTGGGTAATATCTGTAATCGTTATTTCATACTTTGCCGTGAAATATATACAAAAAAAAACATCGAACGAGTGATGATAATCATTCGTTGATAAACAGACGATATGAATTATCGTGCACCCTTATGAATGTTGAACTTCTTTCGCGCCATACGTAGCCAACAATGTTAATCGGAGGTGCGGAGGAAGGACAACAAACTAAAAAAAAGCAGTTCTAAAGAAGTGAGTTACCAATCTAGATGCTTTAAAAGTGCATAGCTCCAGTGGCTTCCTAATATTGGAAGGAAGAGCGTTCCAGACGGCCACAGAAGCGCATCTGAAAGCGCGCGATGCAGTGACCGTCTTTGTGCGATGGCTGGACAAGGATGTATATAATCGGACATGTATCGCATTATCGCCGCGTCGTGGAAGTGGTGCTTAATTTCAGCTAGAACAGTCTGGAACCTCGTTCCGGGGATTGTTTTGGCACCCAGCCACATCTGTCTCTAATTATTTTCTCCCAACTCACTTATAAACCTGCTTATACGATTATAGGAATATCCCGTACAATAATATACAACTATTATGATTACAGAGAAACCTTGCTTTGTACTCGAGTGGTTCTGCCTCATGCCGATAATCCCGACTCCAAGCCAGGCTAGCAGCAGGAGCGTTCTGGAAAACACCGCGGTGAGGAATTGAATCCGTGTGCGTGAAATGTTGAGGTTGGGCTCCCAACCTCAACATTTCTCCATTCCCTGGGATCACTGTTTCGTGAATTATGCGGAGCTTCTCTGGGAATGTTCAGGAAGTTAGGCAGGGCAGTCTTGTGGGGGTGGGTGGGGTGGGGGTTTGTAGGGGTGGGATTATTGAGGAGGCGTCCAGTGAAGGAATGTGGGAATGTGTGGGAACCCGTGGCATGATGCATTAATTAACCAAGGAGACCCCACGACTCACAAACACCGCCCCGTAAATCCGCATGCCCGCAGCCATCCAGTCATCTACCACTTGAGATTGTGATAAAACAATGAAGTTTAATAAAGAAAGCACTCGTCTTATATTTATGCGAAGACAAAGACCCCCCCTCCCCCCATCACCCTGTGTGGGTTGCACGGATCCTGGGGCAGGTGATATCAGCCGAGTGGTCTGGCTAGTACCCCGCCCGAGTGCTGATGTTTACACACCGCACTAGGTACTCACTTTTAAGGCCTAGTTGACCTCGGAGAGGCCCAGGACCGGTTGAGATATTCTTCACCGATATTGGCCGTGAGCTGAAATTGAACTCGGGTCGCCGGGTTTGTAGAGCAGTGCGTGAACCACTATACCACCACTCCGCATTTAACATACACAAATATACACACAGTCTTATGCAAAGTGTAAATGAATAAAAATAGGTGTGACGAATCCGGAATCTACAGGGTAGTTTCAGACGATCCTCCGACGTGTGTTGTGGTTGTAGTCCCGCATGAAGTTCGGTCACGATTGTCCGACGCTGCGCCCAACACAGCGTGCCGAGCAATACGCAGAGCAACAATAACAACAACACAACAACCCGAGTACACATTGGAGAGCTCTGCCTCCGATTTCCTTCCCCCCGCACCTCCGATTAGTGCAGTTGGCTACGTACGGTGCGCAAGGAGTTCAACGTACACACACGGACACACGGCAGCAGCGTGACCGCAAACACCCGCGCAGAAGTTGAGAGTTTCAGGTTCTCGAGTTAAATCCGGCCGCGACTTGCCTCTGCTTACTTGGTGACGGTGCTGCTGCCGCCACTGCGTTGGCAATGGTGCACACGCACAATTAACAACAACAACAACTCAACACGCCCCTCAAAAACAACACTGTGTGTGTGGTCTTAAAAGAAAATATTTAATAGGCGACGTTTGGGGCAGTGGCCCGTCTCACAAGCACATAACATTTTACGAAGAAGTGCGATTGCCCAAAAGGCCACCTATTTGATATATTTCTTATTTTAAGGCCACCACTATTATTGATGAATGAGTTGAGGTTTTTTTTGGTATAATTGCTTGAGTTAATATCTGCTTACAGAGACACCGATCACGTCACACCCCCCCCCCCCCACCTCGCACTACCTGTACAGCGTGTTATTCGAACGCTACGCTACTCGTGTTTTGTAATTAATCGCTGTCCCCGTTTAAGCCTGGCCATGTAAACCCCACTCAAACCGTACTCGCATAAATGGTGCGGCACATGAATCAATGACGCTGCTCGAAAGAGGAATATATGTGTGTATGTAAGTCGTCGTTTCAGACATTGCCCCTACTTGATAGCAGAGAGAAAAGTTAAATAGCGGCGATGGTTACAAAGCCGTCGCTGGGACGGTCAAGCGGCTGGAAGCAGTGATTGTGGGGGTGCTGGCGTTAACATTTCTTAAAATCCTCGTGCGATGATAGACACATGGATGTATAGAGATGTATTGAGAGCAGAGACACGTGGATAAAAGATCGAGCTGCATTGCGATAAGAGGAGAGACACAGATGAGACAGAATGATAGTGAGTGAAATGAGGGATGCCGACAAGAGACGGATGCAGTGAGACGAGACGAGAGAGCCGCAGACAAGATTGAGACGAGAGATTCATTGTCTTGGTATTCATATTCTTGGTTCTTTCGGTAAAGTCACGTAGAAGGGAAATGATAAAATAATGAAAATAATAAAAAATATTATTTCCCTTCTACGTGACTTTACCGAAAGAACCAAGAATATGAATCCCTGCAGTCACGAAAGCTTTAAATCGAAATGTCTTGGTATTATCTTGATTTGAAGCTTTTGTGACTGCAGGAATCCATACTCTTTCGTTCTTTCGATAAAGTCATGTAGGTATAATATAAAATAAATCACGACGCTTCGGGCACCTGATGACGGACGCTTGTGTTGCGCCCGAAACGTCGTGATTTATTTTATTTTATACCTACGTGACTTTACCCAAAGAACCAAAGAGTTTGTCTTGGTATGTTTACGTTATGCTCATGTGTCCGTTTTATATTTATTTGGATCTCCGTTCGAGCTGATATTTGGTGCATTTATATATGTTTCGTTCAAGGAATCCACAGAGCCCCTCGATTCGCTTGGGGGCCCTGCGCTTTTACTTTTACTCTGCTTATGCCTCACGCCGCCAGTGGGCTGGGCGGCTGGAACGGCCTAAGCGGCGTAGGAAATAATACGGATAAATAACGGACTTATTCAACCTCCACCACCACCACCACCCACCCACCCACTGCCACTACGGGCGCTACCACCCCCGATAGCCCCCCCTGTAAACAGGTGGGCTCATTGTCCCGCCTCATTAAGCCACTTGATTGTTTTATGTCGCTAATCGGCCACACCTGGGGCCCCACAATCTGTCCGCTTCCACCAAAGACGGCTTGTCATTCAGAGTTTCGTGGGGGTGGCGGTGTCTGCGCTGCACGGTGATCTCTAGCCGAGGATACCCGGGTCCTTGATTCGGCGAATCGGGGGACGGGGCGCGTGGGTCTACAACTCCTGTTTTACGTACGGCTGTTGCCCATCCAGGGCCACCACGGTGGCAAGATGGTTTCTCCCTTGTCTGCTATGCAGGAGGTTGTGGGTTCTATCCTAGCCCTGACGATGCCTGTATATTTGGAGTTTGCATGTTCTCCCCGTGGTCGTGTGGGTTTTTCTCCGGGTCGTCTGTTTTTTTTCAGTACATATTTAGCAACATGCATTTCGATTCTTTGGCTGCGATTTATTTCCACGCGATAAGCCACTTCATTGGGCTTTCATTTGTGGTCAGGACGCTTCTGAGAAATAGCTATATAGCTCAGTGGGGCCTTACCTGGTAAAATAAAAAATAGTTTTAGTTAAATCCCAAGCCCTATCCAGGCTAATACCTGCTTAGCACTAACCACGGTAAAGGCCCAGCCCTGCAATGTCTTGCTCATGCCACTGCTGGTGCAGTGGGACCTAAAGAGAGCTCTGCACAGCCGCTTCCAGAGGGGCATTTGGCCTACTTTTTTTCTTTCCCTGCTGGCCAGACGTCTTGGATTAGACGGGGGGGTTCCCCGCAATTGTACCCCAGCGGGCGCGCCTCCCTGCCGACTAAACTACACCGTGCCCGTTAACGTTGCCGGGTAGACGCTGGGACTGCGAGGAGATCGTCTTCATCTGAGGATCGCAATAGGCAGATGTATT